ACAACCATTTGACAAAGACTATAATTATTGCTAAATTAATCCTTTTTTCTCATTAAAATAGTGTAAGATTAATACTATGTAAAGAAAATCCCCTTATTTAAATGAATCATAATTCACTTTTTTTATCTGCAGAAGAGTTAACCAGCAATAACCTGAAGTCAATAATGTCAAATAAGGATCATGTCACTAAAACAGAATTTTAGCTTCCTTCCGTTAAATTTAACAATACCAATATATATCTAAAATGTATTTAACATCATAAATATTCATGGTTGACATAGGAATGTGAGAAAACAAAACTAGGCACTGAATCACATAGTCTATAAGGGAACAGATGGCCAAAATCTTTATCAAAGAGGTTGGTTTTAAGGAATGTCTTCAATGAAGAAAGGGCAGTGGATAGGTTTTGGGAGGATATTCCAGAATTAGCGTCTGTACAACTAAAAGCAAGACCACCAACTATGGAGTGATCAAAATCAGTCATGCTGATGAGATCAGAATTAAATGCTCAGTGATAACTTGGATGGCTGTAGTACTGTAAGAGATTATAGAGATTGGGGGTGTTGAGGGGAGGCAGGAAGAGATCATTTGTGTTAAAAGGCAATGGAAAGACACTATGAATATCTATGCAGATGCAGAATGAGCAGGCTAAGAGCCCTGAGATACATCCTGTCCTTAGTCATAATTTCCTGTTCTTGCGTGCAAAGTGACATGACAGAAAGTGTTGGTGAGCTCCTAAATGCAGTATTGAAGTGGTGCACTAGCATCGTAAATGAGTCAGAGATGTGTCATGATGAAGTGTGAGGCTAGTGAGTAACTGGTACCGAACTCCTTGACTAAATGATCTAGCCAGTTGCTTTCAATGGAGCGTGCTCTGAGTTACTGGGAAACATGGCCAAGATGGACGCCTGAAGGAGCAAGCTAGAGCTAACAGATACTCACTCAGACTTTCATTTCAGGAATTGTCACCACCTCATTTCACTCTACTGCTTGGGAAAATATCAAGCTGCATCTAAACAAGGGGTGGCACAGTGGCTCAGTGGTTAGCACTGTTGCCTCACAGTGCCAGGGACCCGGGTTCAATTCTGCCCTTGGGTGACTGTCTGTGTGTGTGGAGTTTGCACATTCTCCCCATGTCTGTGTGGGTTTCCTCCGGGTGCTCCAGTTTCTTCCCACAGTCCAAAAATGTGTAGGTTAGGTGGATTAGCCACGCTAAATTGCCCCTAGTTTTCAGGGATTGGTCTGGGTGGGACACAGTGTGGACTTGTTGGGCTGAAGGGCCTGTTTCCACACTGTAGGGATTCTATGATTATCAAAAAAAAGGCAAGACTAGATAATAATGAAATGTTCATTTATCCAAATAGGTCTGTCATCACTGATTAGTGATTTTCTCATCCAGATGGTGGAATCTTATAGATAAAATTCTTTTCTCAATACAGAGAGTCTAATATTTCCACTCTTGCTGTATTTGCACAATAGTTTTTCCATTGCCTGTGTTGTTCAAGGCCTGGGAAAACTTAGCACAATGTTACCAGTGACTGTATCACTGAATAAAGGAGCTAATGAGAATGAAAAGGAGTCATTATAAACTAAAACACAGTCCTTGAAAATATAACATAATGAAAAAGTAGCTCTTGAAAATATCTAAAGAGAAGTCCTTTGAACAAGTAGAATTGCGCCCTATTTTCAGCATCTGCAGTATTTTGGTCTCCTATTATTCGCTCCATGCTGGACATTACAAAGTGTGGTTAGTTTGAGTTAAAAATAAGAAAGTATTTATCACTCAGGTGCAAAATGTATTTTTTCTGTTATCAGAATTCCCTTCTGCAGATACAAAATAGCACATTATTACAAGGGAGTGGCTTGGTGCTAATTGACAGCAAGGTTTTGCCATTTATAAATTTGGAAATGAGACCAGCAGTCATGTGACAATGGAACACTTTACTGTTCATTCAAAACATTCTTATTTGAATTTATTTGATTTGATTTATTGTAGTCACATGTACCTAGGTACAGTGAAAAGCTTTATCTTGCGAGCGGTGCAGGCAGATTATAGCAAACAAGGACATACAGATCACAGATAACACAGTGTGGAGCTGGAGGAACACAGCAGGCCAGGCAGCATCAGAGGAACAGGAAAGCTGACATTTTGGGTCAGGGACAACAAGGTGCAGGGCTGGATGAACACAGCAGGCCAAGCAGCATCATAGGAGCAGAGAGGCTGACGTTTCGGGCCTAGGCCCTTCATCAGAAAAGGGGGAGGGGAAGGGGGTTTTGAAATAAATAGGGAGAGAGTGGGAGGCGGATAGAAGAGGGATAGAGGAGAGGATAGGTGGAGAGGAAACAAACAGGTCGAAGAGGCGGGGATGGAGCGAGTAACGGTGAGTGTAGGTAGGGAGTTAGGAAGGGGATAGGTCAGTCCAGGGAGGACGGACAGGTCAAGGGGGCGGGATGAGGTTGGTCGGTAGGAGATGGAGGTGCTTGCAGGGCTGGATGAACACAGCTGTCTCCATATCGGGCAACCACCTAGAAACCGATATTCATTTCAAGCCCACCGACTCCCACAGCTACCTAGAATACTCCTCCTCCCACCCACCTTCCTGCAAAAATGCTATCCCCTATTCCCAATTCCTTCGCCTCCGCCGCATCTGCTCCCAGGATGAGGCATTCCACTCCCGTACATCTCAGTTGTCCTCGTTTTTCAAGGACCGTAACTTCCCCTCCTCGGTGGTCGAGAACGCCCTCAACCGTGTCTCCCACATCTCCCGCACCTCATCCCTCACACCCCGTCCACGCAATAAGAGCCAAAAAAGAATCCCCCTCGTCCTCACGTACCACCCCACCAACCTCCGGATCCAACGCATCATCCTCCGACACTTCCGCCATCTGCAATCCGACCCCACCACCAAAGACATCTTTCCCTCCCCACCTTTATCTGCTTTCCGGAGGGACAACTCTCTCCGTGACTCCCTTGTCCGCTCCACACTCCCCTCCAGCTCCACCACACCCGGCACTTTTCCCTGCAACCGCAGGAAGTGCTACACCTGCCCCCATACCTCCTCCCTCACCCCCATCCCAGGCCCCAAGAAGACTTTCCACATCAAGCAGATGTTCACCTGCACATCTGCCAATGTGGTATACTGCATCCGCTGTACCCGGTGTGGCTTCCTCTACATCGGGGAAACCAAGCGGAGACTCGGGGACCGCTTTGCAGAACACCTACGCTCGGTTCGCAACAAACAACTGCACCTCCCAGTCGCGAACCATTTCAACTCCCCCTCCCATTCCTCAGACGACATGTCCATCCTGGGCCTCCTGCAGTGCCACAACGATGCCACCCGAAGGTTGCAGGAACAGCAACTCATATTCCGCTTGGGAACCCTGCAGCCCAATGGTATCAATGTGGA